ATATGCCTATATATATAAAATAATATATAAATAGTATTTGTCGTATATATATATATATGTATGTGTGTGTGTGTGTACATATACATATATATATACATATATATATATATATATTCGCTAATGGCCGGAAGGTGAATATCCAGACTGTCAACACATATAGTACTGCAGAACACTATAGACTGCAAAAAAGCATATGACACAAATTTCTGGTGGAAGTCAAAATACACAATTTCTATAAAAGACACTACATACCTTGTAGGCGGGCTCAAAGACGGCGTGTGGTCGCAGAGCAAAGACCTCCGGACAGAAATCGAACATCTTCTTTGTACTCGAAGGTGCGCTCTCATATCCCGAATCCCAGAACTTATGTATTCCCAAGCCAGGTAAGTCTAGTCTTTCTTGGTTGCAGAACTTCTGCAACACCTCGGCATTCTCAGGCATGTTTTTCTGGTTCTGGTGTAAACACCACCCGAAGAACTTGTCCTCCGGCCAGTCGGACTTGTCGGGGTGATCGTGTATGCATTTCTTTTGGAACTTATTGTTCCGCAGACTTAAACCGCCACATCCATAAAAGGCTTCAGGGTACCACCAGTAAGTAGAACTTTCGCCGTAGTGGGGCCCAATGGCACACCCGATGTAGTCATATTTAACGAAATGCTCGATGTTGTAAGGGGAGTTCGAGCACAGGACTGTATCCGTTTGGAATACAAGAACGTGCTCCTCTGATATTAACTCCCAGAAATCGTACGTTAGAAACATCTTGTTATACTCATGTGCCTGAATATTTTCCGGTAGGAATTCTATACTTTTCACAATTCGACCATCCAGCTTGCTCAAGGCTCTCTTTACTTGCTTCTTGTTTTGCCTCGAGTGTACAATCGTTATGGACCAATCCATGGGCATGTTCCCATGGAAGTTCCTAAGCACATAATTGAGTAGCGGATGTATACGTGGCTCAACCATGAGCATTGTTTTACTGGGCAGTTCGTTTTCATACTTAGCTTGGTAGGATTTTACGAACACGTCCGGTTGTGAGGGATATACAAGCGACCATATATGGGGAACAAATAGTAACGTCAGCATCAGAGTCGCAACCAAAGAAACTACAGATGGGTGGCGATAGTAGTGAAGCATAGTGCTGTATTCTTACCTAAAAGCGCACATATCTATAAGCCGTTTTGTGTAGTAAGAAAGTGCATGTTTGGAATCTGCACTGTTGTTTCTTGCTTCAACTATGTGCATGAATAAATGATCTTCGTTCGTCACTGATGATGTAAATATTAAAATAAATAAATAGAGAAACCGAGGGGTTGAGATTTGTTTTTTTACAAAACATAATCAAACACAATATAAAAAAACCAAAAAAAAACATATTTACACAAACAGCTTTATGTCCTTCGGACGTTATATGTAGTTTTTAAAAAAAATAGAAAAAATAGCGGTTATTTATTTAGTCCCGTCACGCATCAGCCAATTTTCACTTCTCTCTCTCTCATCAGTCTCTACTATTTACTATTTAAATAGTAGTCGTATTTAGTTAAAAGTGAGAGTAGAATGGGTCATGGCTTTATTCAACCACTGCCACAGGCCGTGGCCACACAGGGTTTTTAGGGTCTCTGGACTCTGGTGATCAGTCAAACTGAGAGTCCCTTGACAATATTTATTTCAGTCACAGCAACTCAGCAGTCAGCAGTGTCATCAGACTCTCAGGCACTCTCAGTCTCAGCAACTCTCCCCAGGCACAGTTATACTGTTTTAGAGGACAATCTGACATACATACAAGGCATGTCTTGGGTTTTTGGGGTTGGGATGCTTTTTTCAAAAAGCTGCAATGTTCAATGAAGAAGGCTATATTTATTTATTGTACATATTCATAGTAAAGAAGAAGGCTATGATATTTTTAAAACATCATATACATATTTGTGTTAAGTGTTCACGCGAGATAGGATCATAGGAACCATAGCCTTCTTATTCATACATAATTTAAAGTTTGGTTCTTGCCTAGTTCCAGTCAAAGTATCAAGATGTCCCCTAATATCTCTGACAATGTCTTTCTCAACACGGAAGAAGATCTACCATCATCCTCTACCACAACAACAGGAGGATATGGCACTGGTTCGATCAGTGTCAAACGCGTTCGTAAAAAAGTCACAGGTGGTTTCTGCACACGCTTCGTATCCTCTGAAGGTAATTTTGCTCGAAAATGTATTTTAGGGTCATCGTGCCTCATCAACCGAGATTTTAAAAAAGTATATATA